AAAGTCGGGCGGCCTCCGAAGTCGGCCTGACTTCCGGGGTTCAGGCCGAACTTCCACGACATCGCTGTCGGTGGACTTCTCCTCTTAGTCACCGGCTTCGCTGCCCTCATCGTCCTGCTGCACCTCGGTCGACTTCCTTGCTGACCTCTTCCCTGTAGTCAGCTCCTCTGCCGAATGCCTGGTTGCTGACTGCTCCGTGGTCGGCGTCACAGCTGCCTTCTCCCCTGTCGGGTGCTTCTCCTCGACTTGCTCCTCCCCTATCAAGTCGACTTACCACTCGTCACGTCGGCCACCGGCGATGCCCTTGGTTGGCGCCGAAGGCGACGTCCCACGACTCCCTTCATCGCCAGAGGCCGACACTGAGGTCATCCCGCGCAGGTCGACCAGAAGCGGAGGGGCAGGGGTCGTAGAGGGAGGGGAAGAAGGACGGACGTCCTCGGTGAGTAGAGGCAGCATCGCCGTCGAGGTATCGGTCGGTGGGGTGGTCGGCGTCCGCCCTGACACCGGCCCGTGCTCCGACTTCCACTCGGCCAGCGACAGATCCTCGTAGAACACTGCATCCGACGTGGTGACCACCCGGTTTTTGGCGATGTCGAGGAGCTCCCACCCCTTGCTCTCCACCGACACGCTGAGGTGAAGGCCCCACCTGGCCTTCGGCTTCCGCTTCCCACCACGCTGCTGCTTGGGGACGAGGAGCTGCGCCATGCAGCCCCACACCTACACCAGCGACAAGTCGGGCTTCTACCTGGTCAGCAGCTGGTACGGCGTTGTCCCCAACGGCAGCGTCGACCTCTCAAGGCATTTGCGGACCCAGACAGCCTGCCGCAAAGCGAGGAGCCACCAGTGGTGCTGCACGCCCATGTGCAGCAGCATCGTCCGCGCCGACTCCACCACCGTCCTCGTCTCCCGCTCCGCCATGCCGTTCTACTACGGGGTGTACGGGCAGGTAAGGTCGTGGACGATCCACTGGCCGTCCACGAAGTCGGTGAACTTCTTCCCGAGGAACTCCCCTCCTCGGTCCGAGCGAAGCATCAGCATCGAATTCTTCACCTGCCTCTCCACCAACACCAGCCACTTCTGGACTCCAGAAGCACATCCGACTTTTTGGCGACCGGCCTCACCCACACATAGCGGGTCTTGCGGTCCTTTGGTAGCAAGAAGTACAAGCTGCCGTCCTTGGCAGCCACGCGGAACAGCCCGCACAGGTCGATGTGCACGATGGCCAGCACATCGTCGGCGTCGGAGCCTTGGTCGGGGAAGGTGTACCGCGCCAGCTTCCCGCCGACGCACGAGACACACGTTGAGTCGGCGCCCGACGCCGACCTGAGGTCCAGCCCAGTGGAGACCTCGTGCTTCGCCGAGCTCCATATGGTGTCCATGCCGACGTGCGCAAGCCGCGCATGCAACCTGTAAAACTTCGCCTTCGTCGCCGATATGATCGCCCGCAGGGCCACGACCTCCGTCGTTGGCGAAGTCAACCTCGTTGAGCAGGGACGCAGGTCGGTGCAAAGGACACGCCTAGAGTACGTCGCTTGACCGAGCACCTCTCCCGCTGCTGAGACGAGCAGCATCCCGTCGCCGTCCTTCTGTAGCTTCACGTCGTCCTCCTTCAGCTGGCCGGACGACAGCAGGTTTGCCCGCACACCCGGGACGTACAGCACGTCGGGGATGAGCACCTCCTTCCCGGCCTCCCCTTGCAGGGCGACGGTGCCGCGGCCCTGGACGTCCTGCAGCGCCCCATTGAAACTGCGCACGTGCTTGATGGAGCCACTCGGCTGCAAGTCGATGAAGACTTCCTTTGTCCCCATCAGGTGGTGGGAGCAGGCGCTGTCGAGCAGGACCACCACCGGGTTCGCCTGCATAGCTGCCGCCACCGCGTGGAAGTCCTCCCCGGCCTCCGGCGCCAGAAGACGGTCGGCTCCATGACGCCGACCAGCGAGCACGACGCCGTCTTGTCGTCTCGCGCCTTGCCGCCAGCAGAGGAGTCGGCTTCCTTCGCCGAGGTTGACTTGGTCGACTGCATCTCCTTGCGCGGCTTGTTCCCTCCTCGACAAGGACGACGACTGCCAGACCTCCCAAGGCCTCCCATGGCGTCGTCGTCGTCGGAGTCACTGCGGTCGGGGCACTCGAAGGAGAGGTGGTTGGGGTCGCCGCACAGCCAGCACTCCTGACGTCGACCTCCTCCTCCTCGACCGCTGTCCTTGGTTGACTTCTTCTTGTCGACTTCCTTGGCTAGCTTCCAGCCTCTGCTACCACCGCCGCCAGACTGTCCGCGCTGCCCTGGTCGACCTCCATGCTTCGCTGGGGCGGCGAAGATCACCTGCGCCAAGAGCTCCTGTGACCGCTCTGCCTCCTGCATCCCCTCGTCCTACAAGATGTACGAGGTCAAGTTGTCCTCATTGAGCGTCGTCCTCGTGCCCGGCGCCATAGACAGCCGCTTCAGAAGGTTGTAGCTGCTCAAGAGTCCCTGCATGACGTGGGTGATGTACAACGCCGTCGAGTACTGCGCGCCGGCCATCCTGATGGTGGCGAGAATTCGCCGGGCCCGGTTGCAGTAGTCGGTCGCCGTCTCCTCGTCGCCCATACGCAGTTGCGTCAGCTGCCCCTCCAGCTGGGCGATGAACAAGTCGTCGGTGACTTGGTAGGTCGACTCGATGAAGTGCCACGCCCGGTGGCCGGCGTCAAGGTACCATCGGCACCACTTCAAGGTGATTTGCACGCCCGGAAAGCAGCACCGCAAGATGATCGTGAAGGTCAACAACTGCACGGCGCGAAACTCCGCACGCAAGTCGGGGTCGTCCGGCGTCGCCATGGTGGGCTCGAGAAAAGCTGGTCAGCTCGGCCATCTCCAGCTGGGGCTCGATGGCTTCCTTCCAGGTGAGTATGTCGGGTCAACCAGTGAGCGGTGGGGTGACCAAGATCCTGTCCGGCGTGAACTTGAAGTAGCCGTAACTCGGTGCAATCCTGCCCGCCGTCACCTGGGTCGCCAACATCGGCGACAAACCGCTTCGTCGACCTCCGACATTGCCATGCAAGGAGCCTGCAGCCGCCGACGGCCGCACTCCCTGCGCCTGAACGCCGCCGACTTCATCGGCGTGTATCACACCTCTCTGCCTTGACGTGCCTCCCGCGGTGCTGCCGACCTGGTCACCACCGGCGTGGACGCACATGCCCTCTGTGTTCACCAGTCGAGGAGATGCAGGTCGAGAAGGGTGCAGCGTCGCCCACATGGTGCGAATTCCAGCCTCCACAACCGCCCAGGGGATCGTTCCGTACTCCTGGGCCCCATGGCGTGTCCTCGCGTCCTCCAGCTGTGCTTTCAGGGTCTCCATTCCCTTGGCGTCACCTACGCGCACGCTAGTGACTGCACGGCTGCCGGCCTACGAACAACTTAGGTCAGTGACCTCTACGTCGACCTGATTGAAAGGTAAGTCGTGTGCTGTCCACGCTCACCGCACCATGCGGAGATTACTATTACAACGGGAGCTAGACTATGGGCTAGGCACGGGTGCTCGTGTGATCTCTGCGTTCGTTAGTCCTTAGTTGTTTTCCTAGTGCACACACTGCTTGCTAGTTCACGGGGCAAGTTGGCAAGAGTTTCACTAGAGAAATTTGACAACAATGGTCCAAAGAAGTTGGCATGGAAAGACTACATCAGAGCTAGCATTTGGGTCGGTCGACTGCCAGCGTAGCATGGTCGACCGCGTTCCAGCACGACTTGGTCGACCGCGCTCCAGCAGTGCAAAGTCGACGGCGTGCCAATGCTGCAGGTCGACAGCGTGCCAGCGTTGCTCCCGCAGAACAGCAGCGCACCAGCTTTGCAGGTGCTCGCAGATGATTGGCGTGCTGAGCCTTGTCACCTGCACAGCGCACACACCAAGTCAACCTGGCGCTAACGACTGCATCTTATCAGCCACGTTGACCTCGGGATACCACCATCGAGGTCGGACTTGCCAACTTCGCCTGGGTGACCGTCGCACTCCTCCGCAGAACCTCGTCACCCGGGTAACCTGGTCGACTGGGCAACCACTTCGACCAGCTGGTCTTGTATGTGCTCGTCAACCTCCCAAGTCAACGACCACCCCAAGTCAACCTCACCAGGTCGACCACGCCCCTGGTCGACCAGCTCCAGGTCGACCAGCACAGTTGTCAGCCGACCACCCAAGTCGGCTACCCAAAGTCAGCGTCACCAAGTTGACGCCCTGCTACTCGACGCCCAGCTGCTCGGCGTCCTGAGTCGAGGTCGACATCGGCCCCTCCGCCGTCGACCACCAGGTCAAGTCGACCACCAGGTCGACATCACGCCTGGTCGACCAACCACCACGTCGACCAGCAGGCCTGGTCGACCAACCACCAGGTCGACCAGCAGTCCTGTCAGCCGACCATCCAAGTCGGTTGCCCCAAGTTGGCGTCACCAAGTCGACGCCCTCCGCAGGTCAACTTCCATAGTCGACCTCCCTGAAGTCGGCGCCACCCTGAAGTCAGCGTCCGAGCAGTGACCCTCGTGCAGGTCGACATCGTTGTCAACCAGCTCGCCCACTGCTGCAGGTCGGCTACTTCCCTCACACCCGACCACGAAGTCGGCTCCGCCCAAGCGAGGACAGGGCTAACAGACAACTCTCGTTGACAAGGTCAATAATGCCTAACCCTGCTAGCCAGAACGGTAGGGTCCCCTGCCGCCAAAGCAAGCTCTGTTCTAGCTCACTCGCCGGGACCTGCAGTTTTGCCGCTGCGAATGCCGCTCCCAGCAGAGATTCGCTCCATGACCTCCACTCATGCCTCTCTAGGACCGCCGCCGATGTAGTCCGCAGCAGGTAGGAAATCCTGCGTGAGATGCTCCGAGAGAGCATGAACATGGCCTGCTGGGGGTGAAGCTGAGCTATCAGAGGCAGTGGAGCGGATGCCCCCGTGAGTTGCGCCTGCGCCTGGTCCGTGCAGAAGGCAGTTGTCCCAATTGGGCTCCCCAAAACTCCAATGCCGTTGGTGTTCAATGGCAGACCATGCGGGGGTGGTATCTCGTTTCCCTCCTCCGTGCTCTGCCCCCACCCCGTGGACTTGGCGATGTTGCAACGGAGCCCGAGCGAGGTGAGCTCCCTTGTGATGTTGATAAACACCTCGTACGCCGCATCCCGTGGTCCCACGATGGTGATGTCGTCAGCATAGGCGACAATCGCCACCTCAGGGAGGAGTGTTGCCGTACTCAGTAGCGTAGGTTGGATCGCCGCTGCAAAAAGAAGCGGGCCCAGCGGGTCTCCTTGACAGACACCACGGCTGCTCACGATCTGGTCGACGCCCAGCCTACGGTCCACTAGGAGGCGCGACGGGCCCTCATACAGCGTGCGAACTAGGGGCAAAAGAGAGAGCAAGCTCGATTGCGTATGCCCCTGGAATAACGCCGGTCGTTCAACGCTGTTGAAGGCATTCTCAATGTCGAGTTGTAGCGCGATGCGAGTCTCGTCCTCTTTAAGCAGCGCACGAACTGAATGCACAATGCACTCCGCACCGCCCGTGACCGCCACGTCCTCCTTGCCGCGATGCAAAGTAGCGCCTCTCCTATTGCTATGGGACGAACCCCGCCTCCCGGATTTTCCAGGGCGATGAGCCTTGAGGGGGGTAGCAAGTGACGGACAGCTTGGGTCTGGAAGGTGCTGAGGTAGCTGGCTGTTTTTGCAAGGAGTATGAGCACTTCTTCACTCGCGAGCGTTGGGTCTTTGAGATGTTCGAACCAAGTGCCCGAAGGCCCTGCTCCCATTCCGTTCGGGCATCGCTTAAGTATTTCGCGAAGGTCGTCAGGGGTAACTCTCAGCGCCGAGTGGGTACAGCGAGAGACACAAGTCGAGGGGCGAGGCCGCAGCAGGGTGTTTCGCCTGCAGTGCCGCGAGCGTCGCTGGTGTGGTTTCTGCGAGTGGGGTTGTACGTAATGCTGCAACTGCCTTCGAAATGTTACCTTTTTCATCAAACCCTCCGCAATAGCACAGAATCCCGCATCATCAGCTTGGAATCTTGTTGGGTTCTCCATGTCAGGGATGACTTTTGCCTCCCCGAAGAGTTCCTCCCATCTACCTTGCTGGAACTGGTGCAATCTTCCCTCGATCCCTGACCATCGGCTTCCTTCAACAGGTTCGGGAAGTGGTCGTAGAGTCAGTCTCGGAAGAAATTGCAGGATTGCCCAAGCCCTGGGGCAGTCGGGATGTTTCGTGAGGCGCAGGAGTGGGGCCAGGACACAGAGGGTGTAACTCTCCAGGATTTTGGGGGGCATTCTTCGAACCAAGAAAAGTTGGTCACTCCGCTGGAGTGGTGCGACCTCTCACGTGGCTGCTTGTTGCCAGTTGGAGTCATCTGCTGCCAGGTCGGCAAGCAATTGTACCATCGGCCCTCCTGGCTCTCTCTGGCCCACGCCCGTCTCTCTCCTCGCTCCTGGGGGTTTATCTCTGAGTGGTTTTCCTGCTGAGGGTTTCTCCCACCCGTACTGCGTCTCCTGGCTCTCCTTGCCGTGGCTCCCTATTCCTCCAACGAGATCTCCGCAGCTACATATTCCTTGCCGTCATCGTTGTTGTCAGATTCCTCCGCCTCCTGATTCGTCGGTGGCAGATCTTGTTCTAGTCGATCGTGGCATTCCCGCCACGTTCCCGATCTCACAAGCGCCTCTCTATCCCCGACGATTGCGCCTCCGCCCTGTCTTCCGCCTCTTCCCCCACGACCTCCGCCTCGGGCCCCGCGAGCCATCTCGCCTCCTTCAGTCTGGATCTCGTTGATCCGCCCTCCAGCCCCAGCTTGTGGCGCTATTCCCGCCGGGATCCACGGTGAGAATGTATTTCTAGTCAGACCTCCCCTCGGCTAGCCCCAGGTGATGCCCCGTGCACGTGTGGTGCTCCGTGTTTCCCGCTAGGGCGCTTGTGGGATCCCAGCTTCCAGTGAATTGCGCCCCGCCCTTACGCCTGAGGGTAGTGTTTGCCTGACATTCCTCTCCCCTTCGTTTTCCCCGATCCCTGGCTCCACAGATGGCGGTTGACGCACTTGCGATCGTGGTGACTGCTCTTGCCGAAGCCAGCCCTCGTGGGGCCCCGGGGAGCCAGGTCCCAGCCCTGCTCCAGGCCTTCTCGGCGCTGGCTGGGCCCGCAGCTTCTTCTTCGACCTCGTCCGGGCAGCGTTGGAGGCAGCGCCGTTCGCGGGATCCGCACTATCACCCTCCGCCTGGCTGGGCTCCCGCTTGTTTGTAGCCACGGCGGCAGCAGGAGTACCGTCGCACACAGCGGCAGCCGTTACGACCACCTCCGCCCCTCCTACAGCCGCTGCCTCCGTCGATGCCCCCACCGGCCGTGGCAGTGCCGGTTCCTCAGCCTGTGACAGCGCTGCCCCCGATCCCGAGCCCGGTCAAAAACCCTCTGCAGGTGGCAAGGCAAACGCGGCCGTGGCCAAGGGTGAAGATGAGCCGCCGCCAGCGGCAGCGGTAGCCTCGGCAGCCTCCCATGCTTCCCCTGCAGTCTCTGCAAACTCCGTCGCCGCCGGCACCATCTCCGTTGCCCTGAGAGCAGCAGCCCCTACAGGCATCCCTCCAGTCGCCGCGTCGCCAGCAGCCGCCGTGTCCGCGTCCACCCTTGCCGCTGGCTCGTGGGTCTCCGCTCCTGCGTCATCCTCAGCCTCCTCGGCAGCAGCAGACTCCGCTGCTGGTTTCTCGGAGTGCCTCTCCCGATCCCCCTGCCCCGTTGTCTCCAGCAGCGTTAACTCCACCGATCTCCCCTCGGCGTGACCGCGTCGAAACGCGCGTTGGGCACGTGGGGACTTGCGTGTCCCTGCTGGCGATGGTTCTGGACCAGCTGCACGTGTATCAAGCGCGTCTGTGGCTTGAAGATGCGCCCCCCCCCCCCCCCCCCCCCCCCCCCCAATGGCGCAACAGGAGCAGGAGAAGGCCGCTGCGGCGGCGATGCAGATGCTGCGCATGCTGCCCTTGATCGGGCTGGTGCCGGGTTCCCCTAGCTCCGCTTTGGGGCCTGGTCCTGCTTCTCTGAGGCGGCTTGCCCTTGCCGCCCTACAGGCACCACGCGACATTGTGTCGGCTGCCGCGTCCGTGCTACGCTGGATGGACGGGCGGCTTTCTTGGATTCTGGCCGAGTAGCACGCCCCCTCCCCTTGCCAGCCTCCTTTGACACTGGCCTGGCTTTGGGCTTCCCCATGGCGTTTGCTTCCCGCCCGGGGGTGTTGTGGTTGCTGTAGATCCGCCTACTGCATGATGTAATCAGTGCCTTATTTATATCTTGCCGTCTCTTTGTCCTTGCCACCCCTCACGCGTGAGAGTAATCTGAACTCACCAGTGAGTTAAACTGCTCACTTGTGAAACCACAACACAACGCTACCTACCCACTACCTCCTCTAGAGCTCTAGGTTGGGCTCAACCACCGCAAATCAGTCCCCCGGGTGAAGCTCCTGACCGATACCTCCTACGGGCGGGTTCTCTGCTGCTGCCGCCTCGCCCAACTTGAGAAGGAGACCAACCGATTGGGCCCTCTGAAGGGCCACTAACCAGCGCTGCCAAAATAGTGCTGAAACTTGGCGGCGTAAAAGGATTTAGAGTCGGCGTTGAAATGCCACCGAGCCGCAGTATTCGCGGGCAGTTTTAGGAAGACAGGTACTTCCGCGCATGGACAGCCATAGGTGTCTACCGCCAGTAGGAAAAAACCCACTGTCTCTGGCCGGTTGGCATAGTGCTTGATTTTTTTATCAGCCTGTTTCCGGGCCGCCCAGCCCCTGCCTTTCTCTGCCTCCTGGTCCTTTGTGCTGATAGGGTCGGTGATGGTGACGTCACAAACGTAAACCGCCCCACTGCTTCTATCCGTCATGGTGAAATCTGTGGTTTGTTCCTCGATGGGGCAAAAAACAGCCGACTCGCTGTGAACGATGAAACCTGTGTGCTGCCCCATGCTAACGCACGCATCCCACAGCTCATTGTGGGTATTAATGCGATGCTTGCCCGTGCCGCAGCGGAGGAGATGGTTCGGGAGGCGGAGATTTGTGATAGCTGTGTGATCTGCGCAGTCACAGCTCTTAGGCGTGGAAAAGGGGAGGCCCAGCCGAAACCGCACGGCGTTCGCGAAGTGCACAGGGCCTATTCGTCTAGTGGCCTTGATTGGGATCGCAGTAAGCCAGTCCCCGGTGTCGTATCCAGTCAGCGAGAACATCCGCTGCGTATGGCCCGAGAGAGCGTTCGGTTGCATGTGCCTAGTTGCCTGGACCTGCGCGGCGTATCTGCTCCCGTGCACCTTCAAGCCGAGCATGTGCTGAAGCCTAACGTCCGATCGCTCTAATTGCTCCTTCTCCAGGATTTCCCGCGCGTCGAGGGGCAGGGCTGCTTCGCATTCCGTAAGCCACGAGTGTAGGGGGGTGCTGTCCTCCCGGGGCGCCAGCATGTGGTTCTTAGCCATTGTCAACGCACTGTCTGGTTCTAGCGCGAGGGAGGAAAGAAAAGGCGCCGCCTGGGTGAAGCTCGCTGTGAAATCGTAGATCCCTTTTATGAGAGGGCCTGTTATGCATATGCCGCCCAGCGACATCGGCAATGACGCCTGTTCCCAGACACGCTTTTGCTCAGTGCCACATGTTGGCACGCGGATGTCGCATGAGGTGAGTAAGGTCCCTTACCCACTGGCTCCAGGTGGCGCGAGGGAGTAGGTGGAGGGGGGTCGTCTTGATGAGGTAAGCTACACGCCTGGAAATAAATCGCGTGAGTAGTGCGGCCACTTGGGGGTCAGCTCACTCTATCAACGGTAATGGCTTAGCCATCTCTTCTAGCTGGCCCGAAAGAAACCCGGCTGCTCCAGCGTCAGTGCCAACGTAGCTACCTAGAAGCCGTACTCCGTCCTTGGAAAACGGCACCCCGGACGGAAGTTGAGTCGGTGTGACTGTGGTTGAACTCCACGCCGCGCATTTATCCGGATTATGCACCAGGCCTAGCTATGAAATGCATGAAGGCCGCTACAGTGCAGGATGGGTCACCCAGGAAGGTGACATCATCCGCATACGCCAAGCAAAGCACGTCGGGGTGTGCTTCTGGAGTGTCGCGGAGCGTGGGGTGCATCTCTACTACAAACAGTAGCGGGGCGAGTGGGTCCCCCTGCCGCACGCCCTGTTCACTGAGCAAGGGTTCGCAGTTGAATTTGGCGTCCATGAGCAGTTGCGACAGGTTACCATAGGTCAGTTTCACGAACGGCTGCAGTGGCGAGAGTTTCGGGTCGTGTAACGCTGTGGCGATGGCGTGTCGCGAGATACTGTTGAATGCGTTTGAAATATCCGCTTGCAGGACCAGGCAGTTGGGGCGGGCATCCAGGTATGCCCTGGCTGTGTGGATTACTGTCTCTGCTCCACCCGGAACTGCCACGCCGTACTGAAGTGGCAGGAAAAATTCTCGGGCAGCTTCCCCCATGGCTGTCAGGGCTGCCTTGGCTGTCAGCCTTGTCAAACACTCGCCTATCGCGATTGGCTGGGCCCCTCCCCCTGGTTTGGCCAGGGCTATCAGCCGCGACGCCGTCAGGAGGTTCGCGACCGGGCCTCGCAAATTTCCCCCCAGCAGGGTGTTGACCAAGGCGTGCAGATGGGTGCTGATCATTGCGTTCGTGGTGGCCGCGTCGCGCATGTGCTCAAATGTTGTGCCAGAGGGTCCAGCCCCCACTCCGTTCTCGCATTTTCCCAGAATCTTGGCGAACTCGCCATGGGTGATGGACACTTTTGACTCGGGTGGCACGGGCCAGGTCACCGCCTCGTGTACAGCAGGTGGGTGCTTCTGACGAAGCTCCTCCAAAATTTCCGGACTGGGGGTGCAGACCGGCGTTGACTCCAGGGCCAGCACGGCTCGGCGTAGACTGCCACGTTTTGCGAGCCCCTCAGCTCGGCTAATGACTACGGTCGCGTCAGGCTGGTGTCGTGGCGGTGGGGTGTATTGACCGCGCCCACCATGTCCAGGTACAGCTGCTCCCATTTGCCACGCTGGAAGGCTCGGAGCCAGGCCATGACCCCCGGTCAGTCTGGTCGCTGTGGCGAGGTTTGGCGAAGTGTTAGGCGAGGGAGAAACAGCAGCAGGCGCCAACCTGTTTCGGATTCGGGGTTTCGTGAGAGGTGGAGTAACGGTGTCAGAAGCGCTTGCGAAAACAGCTGGCATAGATTTGGCGGTAAATGCCGTGACAGCGAAGGCTGTCGACTGTCACAGAGTGCTGCAATGTCCCAGCTGGCGATGGCCGCGAACAAATCCTCACGCCTCGCCAGCTCGTCAGGCGAAAAGTAGCGGGGGCTCAGAATGGTTTGGCGTGTCGCGGTATTGGCAGTGGCGGTTTGATTTCGTCGACTGCGGCTCATCCGTGCTGGTGTATCAGTGGTTGGATTGCCACCCGTTCGATCAGCATCTGACGGTCGCTGGTCTGCCTGCGGTATTTGCATGGTCACCTCGCCTGCTCCTCTCCCTACTGCTTCTCTCACCTTGCCTTCTGGTGGGAGGGATTCTTCCCTAGATGATGGGTCCCTTAGCTCCTCTTCTTCATTAGTTGCTGCCAACGTTGTTAAAGCCATTCGCCCCGCTGCTTGGTACCCGTTCTCCGGACCCCTGCCTGTCCCGCTAGTAACCAGCATCCGACCTCCGCGACCTCCGTGCTCCCCCGATGGTGATTGCTGGTGCCCCTGAGCCGTCGCTAGAGCGCGCTGCCGCCTGGTCGGCTGTCGTCGCCAAGCCTCTGTCGGGGCCCGAAAAGGCGACCATGGCGACGAAGCCCCCTGTACCGCCGGCTCCGAAGCCCGCGACAACAGACGGTAGAAAGACTCCTCCCCCCGTACCCGCGGATCCCCTTGGCGTGAGCGAGACTGGCCCGGCTGTCCCTGTTGGTGCTCCGCCCGCTCCGGATGCTGCTCCTGTTCCCCTCGCTCCCTTGGTTGCGCCGACGGCGTCTGCTCCTGTTGGGGAAGTTGCTAATCCCCCTGTTCCTGCCTCTGGTGCTCCCGTTGCACCGGCCGCTTCTGTCCACGACGTGTCTGCACTGGTGTCCGCTTCGTCCCCGAAGGCGGCGTCCGCCACCACTGGCGGCCCGGCCCCGATGGTTGAGACTCTGGTCGAGGACCCAACTGCACTTGCTGTGCTGCCGACGGCCCCGGTAGCGCAGCCGTCTCGCCAGTCCGCCGCCTATCCCGGCCCCATTCTCCCGCACTCCAGCAGGAGCGCGAGTCGTCGCGGCGCCGGCGCAACTCTCCCTGGCGCTACCAACGACAGGCCCAATGGCCTGCTCACCCCGGTGGCAATGGGGGATGGAGGGTTCCCCGCGGGCGTGGTGGTGGCGGGGGATACCGCCCGCCTATGACAACGGCGGATCTTCAGCGGGAGGTGTCGAGGGCCGTGCGCAAGGAGAGGGAGACACAGAGCCAGAGCAGTTCGCTGCGGGCCATACTAGCGCCAGTGGCTCCTCGTCAAGCTGTGCCTCCTGTGGTCCCTCCGCCAGATGCAGCACTTCCTCCTCCTGTCCTTGCCCCATCTGCTGCCTCGGCTGCTGATCCCGGGTCTCGTCTTCGCTTGCCGCCCGTTCCGCTGGTGGCGGGTGTCGAGTTTGTTCCTGCTAGTGGAGGGGCGGCGGGGGCGCAGTACCCTCCATCTCGTGCTGCTGATGAGACGTTTCCATTCTTGGCGGTGGCACTTCAGCCCCCGCAGACCTGTGTTCCTGAGGCGACGCTCGGCCAACTGCAGAGAGCCTTCATGCGTTGTTGCTGATTCAGGTGCTGGCCCACTCTTCCCTCCTTGTGATCTCTGCTGACTCGTTTCATGACCGGCCGCGCGAGACTTGCCTGGACGCGGCGGACCAGCTCGCGCAGCTGCTGGCGCCCGCGTTGGCTGCGCCCGCAGAGGGTGGTGCTGCGGCTGTGGGACAGCTTGACAAAGCTGTCCGGGGCTTGAGGCGACACTTGCGCACAGGATCTGGAGCCGCGGTGATTGGCGCAAGTACGCTGGTGGTCCGTGAGCTGTGGTGGACGTTGATGGGCATTCTCCATGGCCTCAGAGCTCATCGGATGTAGATCCGGGCTCCGCTTGCACGTTGCTGATTCCCGGTGGTTGGGATTCTGACATGGTATCAGAGCAGTCTCGGGTTCGATTCCCGGTGTATGCACATGTAGGCCGTTGCCGCTGTGCTTGGTCCTGGGCCTCCCAGTGTGGGGGGGTGTCAGTAGATCTGCACTGTGGATGCCCGATTGATCCTGGAGAGGGTTACAGGCGCGTTCGCCTGGGGGGTTATGGGCGCACTGACCTGCTACTGAAACAAGCCCTCTTATCCCAATGGTCTAGTGGTTGGGATTCTGACATGGTATCAGAGCAGTCTCGGGTTCGATTCCCGGTGTATGCACATGTAGGCCGTTGCCGCTGTGCTTGGTCCTGGGCCTCCCAGTGTGGGGGGGTGTCAGTAGATCTGCAATGTGGATGCCCGATTGATCGTGGAGAGGGTTACAGGCGCGTTCGCCTGGGGGGTTATGGGCGCACTGACCTGCTACTGAAACAAGCCCTTTTATCCCAATGGTCTAGTGGTTGGGATTCTGACAGCAACCTCCCACGTGGCTGCTTGTTGCCAGATGGAGTCATCTGCTGCCAGTTCGGCAGGCGATTGTACCTTCGGCCCTCCTGGCTCTCTCTGGCCCACGCCCGCCGCCTCTCCAGTCTCTCCTTGCTCCTGGGGGTTTATCTCTTGGTGGTTTTCCTGCTGAGGTTTTCTCCCACCCGTAATGCGTCTCCTAGCTCTCCTTGCCGTGGCTCCCTCTTCCTCCAACGGGATCTCTTTTGAGGCTTCTGATGCCTCAGCTACATATTCCTTGCCGTCATCGTTGTTGTCAGATTCCTCCGCCTCTTGATTCGTCGGTGGCAATTCTTGTTCTGGTCGATCGTGGGGTTCCCGCCACGTTCCCGATCTCACAAGCGCCTCTCTTCCCCCGACGATTGCGCCTCCGCCCCGTCTTCCGCCTCTTCCCCAACGACCTCCGCCTCAGGCCGCGTGAGCCGTCTCGCCTCCTTCGGCCTGGATCTCGTTGATCCGCCCTCCACCCCCAGCTTGTGGTGCTCTTCCCGCCAGGATCCACAGTGAGAATGTCTGTCTAGTCATGCTTCCCCTTGGCTGGCCCCAGGTAATGCCCCGTGCGTGTGTGGTGCTCCGTGTTTATCGCTGGGGCGCTTGCAGGGTCCCAACTTCCGGTGAAATGCGCCCCGCCCTTACGCTTGAAGGTCGTGCTTGCCTGACACTGCTCTCCCCTTCCTTTTCCCCAATCCTTGGCTCCATAGATGGCGGTTGTCGCCCTTGCGATCGTGGCGACTGCTCTTGCCAAAGCCAGCCCAGGAGGGGTCCCCGGGGAGCCAGGTCCCAGTCCTACTCCAGGCCTTCTCGGCGCTGGCTGGGCCCGCAAAGTCTGAGCCATCACCTCCTCCAACTCATCCTCCAGCACTTGCCAATGGTCCCCCAGGCTAGGTTCCCAAGGGTCCCTAGCCGCCTGGGGGAACGCCGCCTTGTCTGAGAGGTTTGACTTGTTAAGGTAGGACGTCGCCTGGGAGCACTCCAGCATCACAGACCAGCGTTGCCGGTAGTGTGCGGTGAGCCGCGCAGTCGTCGTAGTCAACTTCCCTTGGTGGTACTTCTTCTTGGCTGCTGAGGTGGTCACGAGTCATAGGAACTCCTCCGTGTCGGTGGACAGAGCCCCATACGTCTCAACAGCAAGGCTAAAGAAACCAACATAGTCAGGCCGACCCTCATATTCTCTGTGCTTCCCGGCCGAAGCCTCCTTAGCCGCCCATCCTGGCGGTTTCCGTGCCCTGGTGTCACGCTGCTGGAGCACGGGGTTAGTCACCGTCACATCTGTAACTCAGGTCTCGTTTGACTCCTTGTCTCCAATCGCCATGCCCCCTCTCAGCCTGAGGATCGGTGGGGAAAAGGCTGATGTCTCATGGAAGCACGTGAAGTCCGCTTCCCTTGCCATTCTGAGGGCCGCAAACACCAGTGCGTTGTGCGTTCTAACAACGTTGCCCCCGTACCCGCACCTAGGAGATGGTTTGGCAGACTTGTGTCGTTGATGTCCGAATGCTCTCTCTTGCAGGGACACTTCACAGTGACCGGCAAGGACATGCCCACGCGGAGCCCCTGTGCCACGGAGAACTGACCAGGGGCAAATGTAAGGTCAGCTCTTGAAGGCACGGCATGAAGCCAGTCCCCCGCTCCCACGCCTTGCAGACTGCTGAGGCGTATCGCATGCCCTCGGTGTTGGCCAGGGAGGTCTGTGATCGTGTCTGCCATTAGCTCAGCGGCTCTCCTCTCGTTGATGTGTAGGTAAACCCTGTCCTGCCGGCCACTCTCTGAACGCCTGTAATGCGGTTCTCGCAGGTGCTGGCGGAGCTGCTTCCAGTGGGGCCAGCTGATTGACGCCAGGTGGGGTGGGACTCCGGGAGTGGTCCAGTAGCGTGACCGCCCGGCTTAGGAGGTACCCCTCGGGCAGGTTCATCTGCCGTAGCAGGTGTTGGGCTGCCGTGACAGATGCGATGTAGGCTGCTGGTGCCTCCGAGGTGGAGTCAATGATGCCTAACCCCGCTAGCCGAACCGGTAGGGTCCCCTGCCGCCAAAGCAAGCTCTGTTCTAGCTCACTCGCTGGGACCCGCAGTTTTGCCGCTGCGAGTGCCGCTCCCAGCAGAGATTCGCTCCATGACCTCCACTCCTTCCTCTCTAGGACCACCGCCGATGTAGTCGGCAGCAGGTAGGAAATCCTGCGTGAGATGCTTCGAGAGAGCATGACCATGGCTTGCTGGGGGTGAAGCTGAGCTATCAGAGGCAGTGGAGCGGATGCCTCCGTGAGCCGCGCCTGCGCCTGGTCCGTGCAGAAGGCAGGTGTCCCAATTGGGCTCCCCAAAACTCCAATGCCGTTGGTGTTCAATGGCAGACCCAGCGGGGGTGGTATCTCGTTTCCCTTCTGCGTCCTCTGCCCCCACCCCGTGGACTTGGCGATGTTGCAACGGAGCCCAAGCGAGGTGAGCTCCCTTGTGATGTTGATAAACGCCTCGTACGCCGCATCCCGTGGTCCCACGACGGTGATGTCGTCAGCATAGGCGACAATCGCCACCTCAGGGAGGAGTGTTGTCGTATTCAGTAGCGTAGGTTGGATCGCCGCTACAAAAAGGAGCGAGCCCAGCGGGTCTCCCTGACGGACACCACGGCTGCTCACGATCTGGTTGACGCCCAGCCTGCGGTCCACTAGGAGGCGCGACGGGCCCTCATACAGCGTGCTAACTAGGGGCAAAAGAGAGAGCAAGCTCAATTGCGTTTGCGCCTGGAATAACGCCGGTCGTTCAACGCTGTTGAAGGCATTCTCCATGTCGAGTTGTAGCGCGATGCGAGTCACGTCCTCTTGAAGCACCGCACGAACTCAGTGCACAATGCACTCCGCACCGTACGTGACTGCCACGCCAAACTGTACGGGGAGAAAGAACTCGCGGATGTTTTGGCCTAGCTCTTTCAGGGCCGCCTTTGCCACGATGCGGAGTAGCGCCTGTCCTATTGCTATGAGACGAACTCCGCCTCCCGGTTTTTCCACGACGATGAGCCTTGAGGGGAGTAGCAAGTCACGGACGGCTTGGGTCTGGAAGGTGCTAAGGAGGTAGCTGACTATTTTTGCAAGGAGTATGAGCACTTCTTCACTCGCAAGTGCTGGGTCTTTGAGGTGTTCGAAACAAGTGCCCGAAGGCCCTGATCCCACTCCGTACGGGCATCGCTTAAATATTTCGTGAAGGTCGTCGGGGGTAACTCTCAGCACCGAGTAGGTGTAGCCAGAGACACAAGTCGAGGTGGGCGAGGCCGCAGCAGGGTGTTTCGCTTGCAGTGCCGCGAGCGTCGCTGGTGTGGTTTCTGCGAGTGGGGTTGTACGTAATGCTGCAACTGCCTTCGAAATGTTACCCTTTTTCATCAAACCCTCCGCCCTAGCACAAAATCTCGCATCTTCAGCTTGGTGTCTTGTTGGGTTCTCCATGTCGGGGATGACTTTTGCCTCCCCGAAGAGTTCCTCCCATCTGCCTTACTGGAACTGGTGCAATCTTCCCTCGATCCCTGACCATCGGCTTCCTTCAACAGGTTCGGGAAGGGGTCGTAGAGTCAGCCTCGGAAGGAATTGCAGGATCGCCCAAGCTCCGGGGCAGTCGGGGTGTTTCTTGAGGCGCAGGAGTGGGGCCAGGACACAGAGGGTGTAACTCTTCAGGATTTTGGGGGGCATTCTCCGAACCCAGAAAGGTTGGTCACCCTGCTGGAGTGGTGCAACATCCCACGTGGATGCTTGTTGCCAGATGCAGTCATCTGCTGCAAGGTCGGCAGGCAATTGTACCTTCGGCCCTCCTGGCTCTCTCTGTCCCACGCCTGCCGGCTCTCCAGTCTCTCCCTGCTCCTGGGGGTTTATCACTTGGTGGTTTCCCTGCGGAGGGTTTCTTCCACACGTACTGCGTCTCCTGGCTCTTATTGCCGCGCCTCCCTCTTCCTCCAACGAGATCTCTTCTGAGGCTTGTGATTTTTCAGCTACATATTCCTCGCCGTCATCGTTGTGTCAGATTCTTCCGCCGCCTGATTCGTCGGTGGCAATTCTTTTTCTGGTCGATCGTGGCATTCCCGCCACGTTCCCGATCTCACAAGCGCCTCTCTTCCCCCGACGATTGCGCCTCCGCCCCGTCTTCCGCCTCTTCCCCCACGACCTCCGCCTTGGGCCCCGTGAGCCGTCTTGCCTCCTCCGGCCTGGATACCCCCAGCTTGTGGCGCTCTTCCCGCCGGGATCCACGGTGAGAATGTCTGTATAGTCAGGCCTCCCCTCGGCTGGCCCCAGGTGATGCCTTGTGCGCGTGTTGTGCTCAGTGTTTCTCGCTGGGGTGCTTGCGGGGTCCCAGCTTCCGGTGAAATGCGCCCCGCCCTTACGCCCGAAGGTCGTGCTTGCCTGACACTGCTCTCCCCTTCTTTTTCACCAATCCTTGGCTCCATAGATGGCAGTTGTCACCCTTGCGATCGTGGCGACTGCTCTTGCCAAAGCCAGCCCAGGATGGGCCCCGGGGAGCCAGGTCCCAGCCCTGCTCCATGCCTTCTCGGTGCTGGCTGGGCCCGCAGCTTCTTCTTCGACCTCGTCCGGGCAGCGTCGGAGGCAGCGCCGTTCGCGGGATCCGCACTCTCACCCTCCGCCTGGCCGAGCTCCCGTGTGTTTGCGGCCGCAGCGGCCTCAGGAGTTCCGGCGCACACAGTGGCTGCCGTTACGGTTGCCTCCGCACCTCCTGTAGCCGCTGCCTCCGACGATGCCCCCCCCCCCCATCCGTGGCGGTGCCGGTTCCTCAGCCTGTGACAGTACCGCCCCCGATCCCGAGCCCGATCCAAAACCCTCTGCAGGTGGCGGGGCAAACGCGGCCATGGCAAAGGGTGAAGTTGAGCCGCCGCCAGTGGCAGCGATAGCCTCGGCAGCCTCCCATGCCTCCCCAACAGTCTCTGCAATCTCCGTCGCCGCTGGCACCATCTCCATCGCCCCCAGAGCAGCAGCCCCTACAGGCGTCCCTCCAGTCGCGCCGTTGCCAGTAGTCGCCGTCTCAGTCGCAGTGGCCGCGTCCACCCTTGCCGCTGGCTCGTGGGCCTCCGCTCCCGCGCCTTCCTCAGCCTCCTCGGCAGCAGTAGACTCCGCCGCTGGTTTCTCGGGGTGTCTCTCCCGATCCCCCTGCACTGTTGTCTCTGGCAGCGTTAACTCCGCTGATCTCCCCTCGGCGTTACCGCGTTGAGGCGCGCGTTGGGCACGTGGGGACTTGCCTATCCCTGCTGGTGATGGTTCTGGACCAGCTGCACGTGTATCAAGCGCGTCTATCACGTCCTGAAGATGCGCCCCCCCCCCCAATGGCGCAACAGGAGCAAGAGGAGGCCGTCGCGGCGGCGATACAGATGCTGCACATGCTGCCCTTGATCGGGCTGGTGCCGGGTTCCCCTGGCTCCGCTTTGGGGCCTGATCCTGCTTCTCTGAGGCGGCTTGCCCTTGCCGCCCTGCAGGCACCACGCGACATTGTGCCGGCTGCCGCGTCTGTGCTACGCTGGATGGACGGGCGGCTTTCTTGGATTCTGGCCGAGTAGCGGGCCCTCTCCCCTTGCCAGCCTCCTTTGACACTGGCCTGGCTTTGGGCTTCCCCATGGCGTTTGCTTCTTGCCTGGGGGTGTTGTGGTTGCTGTAGATCCGCTTACTCCATGATGTAACCAGTGCTTTATTTATATCTTGCCGTCACCCCTCACGCGCGGCCGGCGGCCGGCGAGAGCCGCCGGTTTTGGAGAGTAAACTGAACTCACTAGTGAAGAATGAGCTCCAAGGGGTGCATCTAGAGGCTTTATTTTAGGAAAGCAGTGCTAAAAACGGCTAAGGACTAAGGACTAGGATTAAGAGGCTGAAAAGCGGCGAAGGACTAACCCCAAGCCATCTCTCTCAAGCAGTCATGTATTGATAGCAGACACGAGATACACGCATGACAGGAAGTTGCGGCTAGTTTGTCTAGGCATGGAAGCAACCAGCACCCAAAACTACAGTCAGAGCTAGCAGGGGAGCATGCAAGCCCAGCCAGTATCCACAACGAGTGTGTGTTGGTACTAGTTACCTAGTACCTAGGTAGCCGGGCCATAGTAGTGTCACTCCCTAACAGCCCCTCCCTTCATCCCTGTTTGTCCCGTGCCTCCTCCTACCAATATTTTGCTGTCCCTTATATTCAACCCCGCTGCCGACTCCTCCCCTCCTCTTCCCCCCACCTCCCTTTCTCCTTGCCCTTCTACGCTGCCCTGGCAGGCGCCTCCCGCTCCTCATAGTCCTCCTGGGTCATTTGCCACAGGTCCCCAAGCCGTGGTGCCCAGGGGTCTGCTGCGGACTGTGGGAATGCCGCCTCGGCAGCACGGTTGGACTTTGAGAGGAGAGAGATGGCCTGGCTCCACTGCAGCATCACCAACCAACGCTGTCGGTAATGTGCATTTAATCGAGAAGCGGTGGTGGTGAGGCGGCCCTGCCAGAATTTCTTCTTCGCCGCATGGGTTGCCAGCATGCGAAGGAACTGTACTGTGTCTGCCGCCACTGCACCATAGGACTCGACTGCCAAGCCGAAGAAGCCCGCATAGCTGGGCCGCCCCTCATACACGCGGTGTTTCCTTTATGATGCCTCCGCCGCCCAGCCAGGTGACCTACGTGCCCTGGGGTCCCTGTTTTGTAGTACCGGGTCTGTAACTGTGACATCAGATACCCAAGTTTCACCCGACTCCTCGTCCCGGACTGCTAAGTCTCATGGAAAACTTTGTAGCCTGCTTCATTCGCCATGCGCAGTGCTGCATACACTAGCGCGTTGTGTGTTCTCACCACGTCCCCTCCGTCTTGGCATCGTAGCAGGTGACTAGGCAGGCTCTTGTCTAGGATTGATGAGCCCACTCGCTTACACGGGCAAACCTCGGCCATTGGGAGCTCCATGCCAAGGCGGAGGCCAAGGGCCAACGAGAACTGACCGGGGGAGATGGTAAGGTCAGCTCTTGTTGGCACTGCATGGAGCCAGTCGCCTGCTCCCATCCCTTTCAAACTGATCAGTCGGATAGCGTGACCCGTGTTGGTGCCGGGTCGATCGACAACAGTGTCCCGTGGGAGATCTGCTGCCCGCTGCTGGTTGATGCACCTGGAGAGGCAGAGTTGGAGGTTGCCTGTCCCTGGTTTCTCCGCCTGGTATTGACCAAGTGCTGCTAGAGCTGGGGCCGAGAGGCTCCTCTCCAGGGGGGCCAGGGGGTTTGTGTTAGGGGGCGGCGGGGTCCAGTCATGCAACAACAGAATCGTAGCTCGGTGCAGTAGGCAGTCCGGGGGGAGGTTCAGATGCCGCAGGAGGTGATGTGCGGCTGCTACAGAGGCGATGTATGCGGCAGGGGCCTCTGAGGTGGGGTCGATGATCCCTATGCCTCCTAGCCAAATTGGAAGTGTCGCTTGATGCCACAGCAGGCTCTGCTCCAGCTCCGAGGTGGGTATGCGCAGCTTCGCGGCTAAGAGTGCTGATCCCACCAGGGCCTCGCTCCACTCCCTCCACTCCACCCTACTCAGGGCCGTCGCTGGAGTTGTTCGTAGGAGATATGAAATCCTACGGGAGATGATGTGCGAGAGGATTAGCAGGGCGTGTTGCGGATTGAGCCGAATGATGAGCGGTAGGGTCGTAGCTGCATCTTCAATACAGGACTGCATCGTCACTCCCTTAGCCCCGCAAGTACCCCCAGTTCACCCTCGTCACTCTCTCTCTCTCTCTCTTTCTCTCTCTCTCTCTCTCTCTCTCTCTCTCTCTCTCTCTCTCTCTCTCTCTCTCTCTCTAATGGTCCTTGTATTGATAGAGTTGCAAAATACATGCATGCAGGTTTTTGAGATTCTAGAACCAAACAGCAACCGTAACATAGCGCTACACCCCAGGTGAAGCTCCTGACCAATACCTCCTACGGGCGGGTTCTCTGCTGCTGCCGCCTCGCCCAAATTGAGAAGGAGACCAACCGATTGGGCCCTCTGAAGGGCCACTAACCAGCGCTGCCAAAATAGGTGCAGAAACTTAGCGGCGTAAAAGGATTTTGAGTCGGCGTTGAAATGCCGCCGAGCCGCAGTATCCGCGAGTGTTTTTAGGAAGACAGGTACCTCCGCGCATGGACAGCCATAGGTGTCTACCGCCAGTGGGAAAAAACCCACTGTCTCTGACCGGTTGGCATAGTGCTTGAATTTCTTATCAGCCTGTTCCCGAGCCGCCCAGCCCCTGCCTTTCTCTGCCTCCCGGTCCCTCGTGCTGATAGGGTTGGTGACGGTGACGTCACAAACGTAAACCGCCCCACTGCTTCGGTCCGTCATTGTGAAATCTGCGGTTTGTTCCTCGATGGGGCAGAAAACAGCCGACTTGCTGTGAACGATGAAACCTGCATGCTGCGCCATGCTAATGCACGCATCCCGCAGCTCATTGTGGGTATTAATGCAATGCTTGTCCGTGCCGCAGCGGAGGAGATGGTTCGGGAGGCGGGGATCTGTGATAGCTGTTTGTTCTGCACAGTCACAGTTCTTAGGCGTGGAAAAGGGGAGGCCCAGCCGAAACCGCACAGCGTTCGCGAAGTGCACAGGACCTATTCATCTAGTGGCCTCGATTGGGATCGCAGTCAGCCAGTCCCCCGGTGCCGTATCCAGTCAGCGAGAACATCCGCTACGTATGGCCCAAGAGAGGGTTCGATTGCATGTGCCTAGTTGCTTGGACCTGCGCGGCATATCTACTTCCGTGCACCTTCAAGTCGAGCACGTGCTGAAGCCTAACGTCCGATCGCTCTAACCGCTCCTTCTCCAGGATCTCCCGCGCGTCGACAGGCAGGGCTGCTTCGCACTCCGTGAGCCACGAGTGCAGGGGGGTGCTGTCATCCCGGGGCACCACCATGTGGTTTTTGGCAAACGTCAATGCACTTTCTGGTTCTAGCGCACTTTTTGGCAAACGTCAACGCGGGCCGAACCATGAGGTTGGTTGAGCGTTGAAGTGGCGCCGAGCAGCTGTATCCACTGACAACTTCAGAAACAGTGGGACCTCGGCACAGGGGCAGCCGTATGTCTCAACCGCCAGGGGAAAGAAACCGACCGTGTCAGGCCGGTTAGCGTAGTGGCTGATTTTCTTGTCTGCTGCCTCCCTTGCCGCCCATCATCTCCCTTTGGAAGCCTTGGGATCCCTAGTGCTAATGGGGTCAGTGACCGTCACGTCGCAGACATAGACCACCCCTGTGCTCCTGCAGCGCATGGTGAATTCCGCGGTCTGTTCTTCTATGGGGCAGTATGCTGCTAATTCCCTGTAGACTATAAAGCCAGCATCTTGTGCCATTGTGATGCACGCGTCCTACAGTTCGTTGTGGGTGTTGGTTTTGTGCTTTCCTGTGCCGCAGCGGAATAGGTGGTTAGGAAGCCGTGGGTCTTTGATCTCGATGTGTTTAGAACAGTCACAGTTTTTCGGTGTGGGGAAGAGAAGTTTGAGCCTGAAGCGGACAGCGTTGGCGAAGTGCTCTGCTCCTACGCGATGGGTTGATTCTTTTGGCACTGCTGTCAGCCAATCCCCTATACCGTAGCCTGTCAGTAAGAAAAACCGTTGTGTATGGCCTGACATTGGGTTTAGCCTCATGAGCCGTGTTGCCTGCAGTTGCGATGCATATCTGCTGCCCTACACCCTCACCCCGAGCTCGTGCTGCAGCTTCAAACCCTTTGGCTCTAGTCGCTCTTTGTCTAGGATGTCTCTGGCTTCTTCTGGAAGCGTCGCTTCACATTCGGACAGCCAACGATGTAGATTGGTAGATACGTCTTGCGGCAGCAGCATGTGGTCCCTCACCGCCGTCAGGGCTTCTTCCGACTCTAGCGGTAGGGTGCTAAGGAGGAGTGATGCCTTTGTGAAGCTTGCTAGGAAGCCAAATGTACCCTCCACCGTGGGGTCCGTGAGTCCTACGCCCCCTAATGACGGTGGGAGCGATGACTGTGTTCAGACCCGAGATTGTTCAGTGCTGTGTACTAGGAATCGTATGTCGCACGCCGTTAGGAGAATGGACAGTAGGTCTCTGCCCCACTGTGACCATGTACTGCCGTCCAGAAGGTGCAGGGGTGTTGTGCGTGTGAGATAGGCTACTCGACGTGAGATACAGCGGGTGAGCAGAAGGGATGCTAGCTGTGGGTCCATCCATTCTATCAGGGGCAGCGGCTTGGACATGGCCTGTAACTGTGCAGAGAGGAAGGAGGCTGCGCCGTCTAGTGTTTCTAGGAAGCTGCCGAGGAGCCTGACTCCATTGTTACTGGTTGGTACCCCGGGCGGCAGCTTCACTGTTTCGTCTAACGGACGGCTGTTCCATGCGGCGCATTTTCCTGGATTGTGCCGCAAACCTACTTGAGAGAGTTGGTCCGTGAAGTGGGAAAAAGGGGCGACTGTTTCTTGCGGTTTGCACAAAAAGCTGACGTCATCGGCGTACGCCAGGCACAGTACGCCTGGATGTGCGGTAGCTGTTGCTTGTAGTGCTGGGTGAATTCCAGCTGCGAACAATAGGGGACCTAAGGGGTCCCCCTGTCGTACCCCTCATTCACTTGTCAGTGGCGTGCTACAGAAGCTAGCGTCTAGGAGCAGTGAAGACGGATGGCCGTAGGTCAGT